TTTTATTTTTATATCTTCTAAAAATATTAATTTTTGAAAAATACACTTAAACCATAATATAGCTATTGAACAAAAAGTTCTACAATCTAATTTTTTACTCATATAAATAATTGCTCCCTACGTGGCGGATCCGAGGGCCCTACCTTACGTGACAGCATAGACGACCTGTTATAGGCAAGAAGGTAGCCTCTCATATGAACCAAAACTTGGCCAACCCCATTTGAACAGACCCCCGCGTAGGAGCCAGTTCGGGTGAAGTGACGAAGATATCCCTAACCGATCTCGTGGTGAAGTGATTGAGAAGACAACGCCGCCTCTATACATCTACACGGTCAAATCCCACTTACACAAGTTAGGGCTTGTAGACATGCAAGAAGTCTTAGTATTTAATACCCTGATTGACTGATCGATTGATACATACAACAAGAAGGGCTAGTCAATTTGATGAAACCACGTGCCCTATCATCCAACGGACCTTGTTCCTCCTACTCAAGTATAAAAGCCCACACTTAGTACCATTTAGGGTTAATGCAAGTTTAGACTCTCAATCCAATATTCTTGTTGCATACATCCCTGTCATTCTATACAAAACCAACTCCCACTTTTTCTTTATTAGATTCGGCCTACGTGGACGCGAGAAGCTTTTGATATCTATCGACCACATCTTTGATACAATTTTTGGGGTCAACAGATTAACGCCGTCTATGGGAAGCCTTTGATACCATAACCACGAACATCCTTGTGGTAAAAGCCATTTGAAGCAAGACCTTGAAAAATGTTTGGTTCTTGAAGAAAGAATTGTCGCAAAAAAGGAATGTCTAAAAGGAAAAGACACTATCAACCCAAAATCAGATACCCATAATGAGTTCCAGTCACCAAGGAACACATGGTGAAAATAGGCAACAAGAGGCCTCTGGAGAAAAGATCATTTGCACCAATGTGAACATGCGTTGTCCCCATTACCAACACAGGTGAGGTAGCACTACAGCACGCCTAGCCATACAGCAGCTACTCATGCAAATGGCCGCAAACAAGAGGAACATGGCCCAGTAAAACGTAGCCATGTAGCAGCTACTCATGCAAATGCACCAACACGGAATGTTTCTCCAAGAGGGTGAGGAAACCCCGCCATGGATCTGGGAACACCCCGCCAATCACCTTTTACCAGTAGACACTGTGGGAATCTATTTCCCACACTGTGATGCACTAGTGGTGCGAGCCATCATAGCCAGAAACGGACTAAGAAGCATATTGGTAGATAATGAGAGTTCGTTGAATATCCTGTTTGGAACTACCTTCGACAAAACGATGGTGGATTATGAGCTCGCCCCCATGACTGCTCCATTATTCGGCTTTACTGGTGATAGCATCATCCCTAGAGGAAGGATCACATTGGCAGTGGAAATGGGAGAACCCAAGATAAAGGTATGGCAGCATACTTGAAGAAGGTCATGGACCTGATATCATATTTTGAAAATTTTGAGTTGACCCAAATCCCAAGAATAGAGAACCTGCACGCTGGTGCCTTGTCAAAATTAGTTAGCAGCAATGACTCAAAACTGCTTAAAATCATACCGATTGAATACCTCCCCAGGCCTTCCAAAGCTAAAGCAGAAGAGGTGATGTGGGTTGGAGGAACCCCGCATGGATGCAACCAATTATAGCCTACCTTAAGAACCACATCTTGCCAAAGAATAAAGAGGAGGCTCACAAAGTCAGGCGTAGAGCCGTCTACTATGT